AAGACATATATTAGCCTAATAGGCAAATATTTATTTCTGAAGGCTGTTGGAACTGGGGGGACTGAGAGGGCAGGAATTACACCAGACTGCTGGACCAGACCAGGCTGTTTGTAAATGTATAGGCTTATTACTTTTACTAGTATGCTTCTTCTAGGATAATTCCTGGGAGTTATCAAAACCAAGTTCTTTTGGATAGGGATAAGGATAATGAGATCTTCTGTATTGATTCTCATTGTGTCGCATGTCCAGACCATGACCGTGTGTTGCATACATGTCAGTAAACACCCCTAGCGCATCTTGCACTCTTAACATTGATCCTGGTGGCGACTATTCGTATTGACGCGGTAGCGGACCATAATGGTCATAGAAGTGTTATGAAGACAGTACCCCTCTGAGTAGATGTATCAAAAGGTGGGCATGTCGAAAAGTAATTTCTATTGCCCGAAAATGGTTTCAATAAATGCCATCTCCAAGAGACCAGACATTCACCAGACATCTGTCATTTAACGCCCGAGATTAACAGATACTGTATCTGTAATTAAATTAAAGTTTCATAATAGTTGATATAGCGTAAGACATTAGATGGATTCAAAACGAAGTTACAACACCTGGATCCTTAACCAGGAACTTACCTAGGCACGGGAACTGTGACCTTTATGCTAAATAAGCACGAGGCACGCAAAAAACTCAGATTACACGTTTAATTTCATACGAAACTACACTGCAACCCCATAACAATGGAAGTTGAACAATTCGTTTTGTTAGTTATTCGTTTGTTAGTGGGGAGATCGATCATTATAAAAACGGGACACGGACTGTTATGCGACATGTTTATAATTCATTATCAAATCTAATCGATTTTTCGTTTTCCACTGAATAAAAACCGATGTAACTTTATTCCGGTAATAAGTCCTCGAAAGTTTCACCGACGATATTGGACAAAAGTACATTGGTTATTGACTTACTTTTGCGATACAGAAGGAAAAAAAGACACAAGTTGTTTATATATATATATATATATATATTATATATATATTAGGGGTGTGCAAAGCAGCCGGTATTTGTATCTGTATTTGTTGAGGGGGGAAAAGTATTTGTATTTGTATTCGTATTCGAGTAAAATTCAAAATAGGCGTAAAAATCCAGTTTTTTTGCGTTGCACTTCTAATTTACG